GCTGGGCCATAAACTCTGGTCCTCTTTGGGTTTCAGCTGTGCCAACTAAATGTGTCACCAGACCCGGCTGCTTTTCACTGCCAGCTAAACCAGCTCAATACCAGCTTGTCACAAACCTGCCTCATTTTGACTGGAGGACGTTCAGGGTAGACACGTTTGGGGTGACTTTCGTCTGTTCTCATTTTGGTGTCTAAACTCTGGAAGATCAAATGCACGTGTGTTGTCCCTTTCCTTGCAGGTAAGAGGAAGGGGTATCACCCTGCACCACCTCTCCTCACCCAGTGTCAGTGCCAGACACAGCTTGGGGGATTTCTATGCCATGTCCAGGCTTAGCCTCAAGTATGTCCCTTTTCACATCCAGGGAAATCACACCCTGCTGCCCTGTGTGGGTAAATACAGGAGAAAAACCACATTATTTCTCCATGAGGCTTCAAAGCAGGGGTTTAGAGTAAGACATGGGTCACATTGTGCAGCTGGTTTCTGCTTTCTGCGACAGACACCTCCCTGACTGCTCTTCACTCCCAACATTGCTTGTGCTAGAAATACACAGCTCTGGCCAAAATGCTTAGTCCCAGCACTAATATTCAACAATAATACACTCCATATAAAAAAACCCTTCTTCCAAAGGGTGCTGATAAGAATTTCCATTTTTAGTTGAGGTCAAATGAACCATTCAGCCTTTATTTGTTGCTGTTGCAATTGAAGAAGGAGCAGAAGCTAATTTTTAAACTTTTCCTGTAAATAGTGCATTAATGAAGACAGATGGGTGAGCAGTATAAACAAAAACTCTATCTCAGGCTAGTTTTGTTCTGGCTTTGTTTCCCAATATAGTAAGCAAAGCACCACCACCCCGGTTCCCATCCTATTAACAGTGTTTGCACTCCAAATGTTGAACTGGGTTATAAGGAAGTTTAAATTAACACTGGGCTGTAATTTTTCAAATGCTTGAAGCAGATGTTCAAGTGCCAGGAAATCTTCCTCTCTTTCTTTTTTTTTTTCATTAAAAAAGGGAGAGGGGGTGCCCTGCTTTCCTGCCAGACCAGCGTGGGGCTCTGCCCCTTCTCCCCAGGCCCCACAAACTGCCCCAAACAGCTGGTCCACCCGGAGCAAGGGGGCTGGCAGGGCTGGGGCAGCGGTGGCAGAAAAAGCCACGCTGAGCTATCAAGCTTTAATGCTGAAAAAGCCAGGAGTCTGTATCTTCAATCAGCTATGCAGGGCACTGGAGAGTGAGCCCGGACCCCAGGGATCACACCCAAGAAAGGGATAATGCAAGGAAGCTTTGGGGAGAAATCTGTTGGAGGAATTTTAGTCCACATGCAGAGAGCTGAGAGATATGGATCGCTTAAGGTAACCTCAAACTTCCAAGTGCTTTCTGAAATCTGGCATTAGTGCTGAGTGTTTGCACAGGAGACACAGCTGTCATGATTTATTCAAAGGCCAAGAAATGAGTAAGATGTCTTGAGGTTCATGCTCTTCTGGAGGCATCATTTGTGTTGATTTAAGAGCAGCAACCCAAGACCAAAGCTCTTCCCTCTGCTCCCTCGCTGGTATGTTATCCAGGCTCTTCCTCTCTTTGTATCGTTTGTTTCTTCTCCCACCCCTTTGCCTGTCCTGGCTATTTAGGCTGCAAGCACTGCCTGGCATTTCATACAGCATCCAGCAAAAAAGGAGCTTCACATCTGCTCACACTTTCTTACACATACTCAGTTAAAAATAGATGAAAGCTAAAATCCAACTGATATTGATGATTTCAGTGAGACAGCGTTGCTGCCTCCTTTAGTTGCATGCAATAACTCAGAGATGGATGGGTGGATGGATGGATGGACGGATGGATGGGTGGATGGATGGATGGATGGAAAGACAGATATTTCCATAGTGCAGCTGTATTTTTCCAAATCTTTCTAAAATTGGTTTGCACTTTAAAGGTTTAAGTCAAGCATCTGCTAGCGTGTTGATATAAAATAGATCAGAAATGAAAGGAAAATCAATGCACACTACTGTTTAATGTGAAAAATAAATTCTTTTAGAAACAGAAGAAGTCACAGTACTAATGTGGATGGATGCAAGGAAGGAGTAAAGAAACACAGAAAATGAAAACATGCAGTGGAGTATTTTTTCAGGGACTTGTCGCTGACATTACCAGCACTTACAGCTTGGTAGCACTGGCTCTTGTCGTGCACTCACCGTAGTATTTGTGAGTGTGGTGTCAATGTGGGCAGGGGTATTTAAAGCCAAGCACTTCTGAGTTTGCAGAAACAACCTTAATTTGCTACTTAGGGAAATCTATAAAATAACTGCCCTGGTTTTTTTGGGTGCTATTTCGCCTGATCTCTGCCGTCTAAGTGCACGAACACCCAGCAAATGTCTTTGCACAATTATATTCAAAGGTAAGGTAAAAATAACGTGAGGTTTTGCTCATAAAGCAGGCATGCAATCCGAACAGACACACATTAATAAGTGAAATACTGTTCTCAATAGTTCTAATCTTAAGTCATGAACAGCACAGGTGCAGCTGAAGGATTCAAGAGATGCTCAGGTTTCTGCCAAATTAGCACAATAGGTTACATCTCATGCTTTGCGGTTTTTCACCACAAACTCTGGCTGAAATCCTCTTCAATCAGCAGTGCAGTCATCGTTTCTTTATAAAGAAAAGCTACTATTATCAAAAGTCTGTCTGGCCTCTAATTCTAAAAAGCTATCCTCGATGTTTTTACTGATCTTGTAAAAATTCACACATGCAGGTTTACCAAGTGATAAAATCACACGCCCACCCACGTTCGCGTCGTACCATAACACACCGTCTACTATCTGCTCAGTTACAACCAACCTCTGGCAATAAGAGAGTGCCAAGGCAGCCACTCTGCTCTACTATGTGGTCACTTGAAAATTTGTACTGATTATGGGTGATCACAGTGGGTTACTTATTATTTTTAAGGCCCAAGTCCTCCTACATGCTGCTCAGAAGTGTTGCTGCTGTTCGGTAAAGGACAGCGGTGCAAAAAGCACGCCGGGCAGATCGCTGCCACGGGAACGGTCGCAGAAAAGAGATGATAAAAGCAAATGTCGGATTATCTCCCTGATGCTGGATTATCACTCCTAACAAGGTGAATGGTTTGTCTTGGCAAATGGCTTCATAAGAATCGTGGATAGTTTCGAAAGGATCTGTGCGGTCACACTTCAACCGTTGGCTGCTGCAGCTCATGTCAGCAGAGCGAAATATCACACCTCTCAGGAATTCTCCTAACGTGCCGTTAACCACGGACTAAGATTGCAGCAGAGCTGGGGGGAAAGGTCTGCCAGATCTGCAGCATAAAGCAGCACGGTCCCGTGGCACAGCCCCCTGGCCGTGGGAACACGGAGCACGAGTGGAGGCTGCAAACTGGACAGCTCCACAGCAAACTGGACAGCTGACCACTTCCAGCAATGCCACCCCTGTGGGAGCAGTTATGCGTTAGACGAGACCGTACGTGCTCCGGAATGCTGTTTAAATCGTCGCAGCGAGTGACCAGTTCTGTAAGCAAGGGAGATAACTGTGGTGTGTGGTATTTCCAAACATCTAGGGCAGGAAAAAAATCAGCAACCTCATCTCTGTGCAGCACGACTCAACGGAGAGATTCCGTGTGAAACAGGATCGGTACAAGGTTTTATCCAAGTGGGATTACACACAAGCACAAAAATAAAACATTCTGTATTCTACATTATTTTACAAAGGCAGGCAGTCAATAAATAGGTCAATAAATTATTGGGAAGCACAGAAGAGTATGTGTGAAAATAGGTGCAACTGGCTGTAGCTGGTGCACAATAACGTCTTTCGTGTTCATTCCTGTGAAGTGTTAGAGTGATTCTTTCAAAGACCCTTATCACTTCCAGGGAAGATAACTTTCCCTTAAAAGTGTAAAACAGGCGCAGGGACAGGACAGTAGGCTCTGGTACAGGCTAAGAGAGTCAACGTCACTTACACTTTCCCAAGAATCTGACAAATTTGCAGCTTAGTATAAATAAAGTGACGGGTCGATTGTTTCTCAGCTCCGACACCTCCTTATCGCCACGATTTGTTGCAGAAGAGTGGTGGAAACATGGCATGTGACTCCATCATATATAGTTTAAGTTCGGGGGGGGGCAATATCTTTATGAATTGACAACTTCAGCACATGCAGAAAGGAAAGATCCTCCCCATGTAGCTGGCCTGAAGGGGTTTCCTTTTCCGCCTGGCTCTCGGCAGACTAAATCCAATAGCACCACTTGCCCATCTCAGTTGGATTACGCAGCGGGGTTGTACGGAATTTGCAGGAGTGGGTGGGGGGACTTAGAAATAAGGGACACTTACTTCTGCCACCCAAAGCTCTGGCCCTAGAGAGGCAGCACGTGGCTAGCGCGAGCGAGCCAGCGCTGCTTGGCACAGGGCGCTTTCGTAAGAAACAGGCACAGGGGGATTTCTTGCCGTTGCACGTCAGAACACGGCACAAGCCTGGCATTGCTCCTGGGCCCATGGCTTTGCTAAGAGAAGCAGGGAAGGGAATGGTTCCCTTCTGCTCCAGGTGCCAAATCATCCCTGCCAGTCACCTTTAACTGAGACAGGGAAAGATTAAAGAAAGGATTAAGAAAAAAGGCAAAAAGTCTAACACCTTGTTGTGCCTTAGTGATTTAGGAGCTTGAGAATTACCAGGACTTGAGATCTACAGAGATAAATTTTCAAAAAAAAAGAAAAAATCTGAGCATGTAAAGATCTTTATAAAGATTTTACACAAAACTAAACAATCCAGGTGTGTATTTCCCATAGTTCACCTATCTTTAATAGCTCTGGAAATCCCTATAGATGCCAATCAACATTTATAAAGTACAAAAATACGTCTTTATTTCTGTGGATTTGAATGTGCCCCTTTGGCACAGAGTCCTCCCAAATAATCCAGTGATCTGCTCTACGCCCTGATATGAAGAGACTCGGTCATAATTTGGGCAGCGAAGAACAGCAAGAAGCAAGCAATGGAACAAAATATACATTCCCTACAGTCGTACGACTTGCCCATTCCCCGTAACAGGAAACATACAATTATCTGTACATGCCTCATTAAATAACCTTATTAAATAGGAAATCCCAAATGTACAAATTTACAGACTGAATCATTAAATACCTCCCCTGTGCACGCCCCTGTGCATGCATTCCCTGCTACTATCTGCAGCCGCACTCTGATACCACCATGCCTTCGTATTTGAACTTGTAGGTGACCACCCCTGCATCTAAGTAGAGAATAGAGATGGGATCGAGTTTGGTGGGCACACAGCAGGCCTTGGAGGCTTTCTGGGGATTCTTCAGGTGAACCAAAGTCTGGACAATGGCGTGTTTCGTTGGTGTGACATGCTCTGTTAAGGGGTAGGCGCACACTCCGTGACACTCATAAGCTTCATATCCCGCCGGGGCGATGATCCAGGAATCCCAGCCAATCTCCTTGAAATCTATGTAGAGTGGAGTCTTTTTGCAGTAGTTGCCTTTTGCATTCCTCCGGATTCGGGCAGTAGAGTCGTAAATGATGTTGGAGCGCATCTGGAGCAGCGCCTCCTCACCGGGCTGGCCGTGGAAATTGCCGACCTCCAGCTGCTCCAAGTCCAGGAGCTGCTCATGGTCTATCATTTCGTTCAGCTCTTGCTTCTCCTCTTTTTTGTCATTGCTTTGGTCATCAGAGAACACAATCAACAGGGGCACGTGCTTAGCCTCAGAGTTGATGTCAATATCGAGTTTCCCCTCTCCATTCTGCTCCTCCCCTTCCCTGCTCTCTATATGAACTTCCAGCCGGTGCGTGGTCAGCCCTGCCCTTCGCCAACGCCTGATGGCTTCGGTGACCTCGAAGCTCTCCCACTCGCTGCTCGTGCCGTAGATCTGCCTGGATGCCAGTGCCATTGTCTTTCTCTCTTCTCCTACCCCCATATGGTCATTTTCCAGCACTTCAAAAATAGTGACCTTCCGGTCAAGCCCATCGTAGAGCATTTGGTCCCGCTCCACCAAGGTGTAGAGCCTCAGCTCTGCCATGGTGATTTCTTCATGGTGAGGGATGGAAACATTGAACAGAAGAGGGTATTTCCGAATTCCTGTGACACCAATAGGGTGGGAAGCCAAGTCTGGAAATGACAAAGATCAAATATTTTAGAAGAGTCAATACATCCAGCAACACATGCACTGAAGTTCATCTGACATGTTTTGCATTGCTTGGTTTCAGTTGAACAGTTCCAGGAGAGTGTTTTTTCACCACTTCCCAAAACTGTACTTGTGGAAAAGATCAACTGTATTTTAGATGTCTATGGAGAGCAAGATCTCAGACACGATAAAGACCATAAACCTGGATTTATAGGTTCTCCTTCTATCCCCATGCCTTCCAGGGACTTCCTTGTCACCTGGAAGGATTACATGTTAAAAATGTGTTGCCTAATACTGAAATGAAACCACTTCTAGCTTGCTGCACAGCAACTGTTTAAGAAATGAGGGAAAAAATTCATTAGTGTAGGAGAGGACAGGAAGAAGGATACGGCACTGGAGTGAACATGGCACGGACGACATATAAGGTGCATATGCAAGAACAGCAGGCTGTACCTGTGTCTGCTTAGAGTTTTTGTGCTAGCAAGTATTCCCTTCTGCTGAAACATCCCTCAGAAACTGAAAGGGCCAAGCACTAAGGGAGGAGAAGTTGCTTCAGAAGACGCAAAGGCTCCTGGTTAGGAAGAGCAGGTGGTGGACATCCAGTGTGAACCACCAGTCAACAGAAATCCTGCCACAGACTCAACAGGCTTCAAGTGAGCAAGCAGCTGTACTTAGCCTGGGAACTTTTGGCAGCTTTAGTTAATAAAACATATAAGAAGTACATAATATCTGCTTGTCAGTCAGGCTGTCTGTCCTATCTGCATCGTTTGTTTATACATAGGCAATATGCATTTCTTCACACAATGCAGGAATCTTAGCTAACGATCGTGTATTTATTGCTGAATTACTGAGCTGTCTACTTGTAACTCAGAAGACAGATTAGGACATGGGGACTATGGGTAACAGTTCTGCAAAGGCAAACCCCTTGCAACCTATTACTGTCTTCATCTCTGACTTCTCCAATTTTGATATGTTTGTAGAAGAACTACACTGATAAAGCTGCAAGTATTGGCCATGCTCCACCAGTGCACTTAAGCAATCAGTTAACTTAAGCACATGACTTGTCCTACTTAATTTCAGTTTTGAGGTTTTGAGGCACCTGAGTTTGTTTTTTTTTTTTTCATTTTGCACTTTCATCTGTTCATAAATAAAAAAAAAATGAGGGGTGATCCTGCTTGCATTTCCCTACCTGGCAGTTGATAAAGGTGGGAGCTGGATATGTGCTGCACAGCATCAGGGTAGGAGCAGACCATGAGCTGAAAGACAATGCTATTCAAGCTTAGCTATAATCTCCATATTGGAAGTAATCTTCGTGATTTCCTAGATCTTGATATGCTAAAGCAAGTCTGCAGTGATGACCTACAACAACAGGGTGTAACGCCACCCAACCATACAGAAGATGAGCACAAGTAATTCACCAGGAGGCAGGGGAAGGCCCCACCATGTGTAAGAAGCTGGGTGAGCGCTAGCAGGGCACGAGAAGTGTTTATTTCTAAGTCAAGATGTGACTCTGCTCTTTAGCTAGAAAGTCCGTAGCGTGAAGTATCTCCTACCATTACGAGTACACTCTTAGGAGAGTCAGGAAGGGGGATCTGGAGTCCATAGGAAAATAAAAATTTCCTTTAAGACCTTTATTCAAGTTTTAAGAACTGATTACAGTGCCAATTACAATGGAGATGTTACGGTCCGTGGGTTAATACAAAGAGCTAATTCCAGCCCTGCAGCAGGTTATATTTCTATAATATAATTATATAAGGACTAATATAATTATAAGAACTAATAAATTTATTAAAAGATTTAATGGATAATCATGAAACTACCGTTTCTGCCAATTTCAGTAGGCAGGTGAACAAAAAAATCCCATGGTATGATCTGTTTCTCCTGTCCTGATCATTACAAGTAACCAATTTCTCTATCAAAAGATCTCCTTAGGATGAGATGGGTGGTTCCCAATCACGCAAACTTTCAAGACACATAACAAACACTAAGTGCATAGTCCCTCTAACTGCAGGTGTTCCTGAAGCTGTCTTCACATCTCACTGTTCTGGTTTGGGTGAGGTGAGTGAAGTACTGAAATGACAGAAAGTTGAGCCAAGTTTACCCCAACTGATGCAGAACTTCTGCAGTGATGACATAAGCGCTGAGCATCTCGGGTACAGAAGGGCACAGAACGGCACAGAACTGCAAACCGCTCCGTGCGTTACGTGGCAAAAGGTCCGTCCGTACCATTTGCAATGCTGCAAACCTGAAAGAACTCCAGTTCTGCCAGTGTAATGACTTGAGATTTATGTCACTAAACCACACTGTCTTTTATTATTTAGCACGTTGTACTTGGTGATTTTTATCCCATTTATTGTTTCTGAAGAGTGCAAAATGAGAAAAGAACAACTCGTTTTTTTTTCCTGCATGTGTCTTTGTTTATGCTGCCGAGCAGTGACAGGCACAGCTGTTCAGATGAGGGACTGTTCACCAGTGGGGGTAACTGGTTTGCCAACAATCCTTCAATAAACTTGTCCGCACTGGAGAAAACAATATGTAAAGAAGATTTAAACCACAGCGTAGTGCCTTTTCAAACCAGAAACACGTCACTGGTGAAGAGTGCCCAGGCCTGGCAGAAGGACGGAGCAGAACAGAGCTTTTGGATTCTTTCCTTGCATCTCACTGCGTCACAAAACTGGAATGGCTTGTGCGTAGCCTCTCCTTACAGTTCATCACTGTGAAATTGCAAATGTTAGAAAAAAACATAACAACTTCTCTACTTCATTAATGGCTCTAACAAAGGGTAAGAGAAGCCTCGTGGCAGTTTGAATAGTTGCATGCACCCCAGAGTAGATAAAATGAACCAAAGCACTGGTACTTGCCAAGTGGAGTAATCGGTATTTGGAAATGATTAGTTGAAAAATGTTTTTAACACAAAACCTGTACTGGTACAAATGGGTATTGGCAAAGTAGTGGGTGTTGACACTGAAACATTGTCTTGTGCTCGTTGAACTGGGAGGAAACGCTGAAGCAGAAATATATGGAAACTACCTATGGTCACATTTAGGATTCTTCAGAGATTTTTTTTTTTTTAGATAGGAAATATTCTAGTCTTCCAAAGTAGAACCTGAGGGTTATCCAAGATTCTGCTTCACATATTTCTATTTATTTGCTGGACTATGCTCGGATGCCAAAGGAAGAAAACGCTACAAATCCCACAAGGATCAATAGTGAGAGGCTGTTAACAGAAAGCCGTATTTGGTTAAGATCGTAATAGGAAAATTTTGAACAGCATGTAAAAACATTTCTTACCTTAATTTCAAATCCTACTTAAAGTATCCATTTGAAAAATCAATCAGGCAATTCAAATGATGCGTGTCATTACGGAGCTAGTGAAAACGATGCACCCAAATTATACTTGGTGCTGTCCGAACATGAAAAAAAAATCTTCCCCCAAAACCTTACAGTCTCAAAACCAAGGGATCTACCTCACAAGAAGTGGGATCTGCGTAACAGCGGCGCAAGCAGCGTTAGCTGCCTGTCTCCCACACCATCCTCATGGAAGGACCGTTTTTCCCTGGCGCAGTTCGTGCTCCATGCTGCTGAATACAATTCACACTGACTATAAGAACACTTATTTCTGTTTACTTCTCCAAGAGATGCACATATCTTACCTTCATTTTTGAAGCTCCTAATAATATTTGCGGATGGCATAGATGTCCTATCAGTGGCAAACCTGTTGTACAGCTCGAGCATGTACTCTGGCGGATCCACCTTGGCCGTTTCGTGCAGGGGGATGTCAGAGAGGTTCAACGTCTTCAAAAACTCGTTTTTCATATTCTGAAGCAGCGTGTTGAAATCAACACCATCCTGCTCGGAGAGAATCTCGTCGAAAAGAGGCACGTCTTCCTCCAAGGAAGAGTGCTCCAAGCTCAGGATGGGACTGCAAGCGGCAAGGTGAACCAAGAGACAGAGGACAGCCCACAGCTGGAGGACTACAGAATCCATGACTTCGCTCTAGCCTCCAACCGCACTCAACAAGCTCTAGCTCTCGTGTGGGCTAAGTGGCGGTTTTATCCCCTGGGTTGTACGCGGCTTATGTCACAGAGAGATGACAAGTTTGGAAGCTCTTGTCTTGAAACTTGTGATCCGTCCTGTCTGTCTCCCCCTTCCCCCTCCCCAAAACCAGGTCTCAGTAATTGGATATGGCTTGCTCTCTTCCATGGTCGCCTTGCCTCTCTTATCTCGTGTAGCGTAAGCTGTTCACCAGATTTGTTGCTATCTCGCAATCCCCTTTCCCTTAATGAGCGTTTTGTAAACATTCTGCGCTGGGACACTTGGAGATAGGACAAGTTTCTTCTCAGAGAGGAGCTGCCCTTTCTTTCTGCCTCCTGGTAGCAGACTTCCTTTGCTGCGCGTGAACAACTTTCATCCATCAGATTTCAAGCTAACATGCAAATTCTACAGAGCCTCTATCCCAACCTATCAGTTTTGCACCAAGAACAGCTCCCTTAAGGTAACAACTTTTCCCCTCTCAAAACTATTTTGGAGCTGAATCTTTGCATCACACTTACAAAGGAACTTCTTTGGGAAAAGGTTCATTCTTCCGTGCTCGTACAGCACAAAGCACGGGAGAGGAGCTCTAAGTACTGCCACAGCACTGGAGACACAAGGCCCTGAGTGCGATGGTGCAGATGAGCTCGAGATGAGCGGGGAGAATTTCTCACGTTGCAGCTGCAAACGGTGCTTTGCGAGGGCTGCACTGGGGAGCGCGGGGGAGAGTGGTCGAACGCGAGCCAGAGAGTGGGACCGGTAAAGCTGGGCCTCGATTTTTTTAATGCAGGCACCATACACCTGCATTAAACATTGCACAGTTTGTGATAAAGGACTTTTTTTATTTTTTTTCGGTGCTTACTTTTGCTATGGACCACTCTTTCATTTTACTGAACACTAGTGCTCAGTGCTGCGTGCCATACAAAGGCTCCGAAACAGCGAAGGGTCAGGAATATTTGCAAATGGTTGAGAAAATCCTTCCTTCTTTATCTTATACGTGTGACTTGACAGGTTACAGTTATTCCTGATTTAGTAACAGCACTGCCAAAGAGGTTGTCTAAAAATTATTGAAAACACACAAAGGCCAACAGGTTACTCTGCTTTCACCTTCGCATCAGTTCAGATAGCTCAGAGGCGCAATGTGGGGAATATGGAAATGATTTTGCCAAAAAAAGATGCACTAAAATTATTCAGTGGCCCTTTTTGCTTTGATGTGCAAATTTCAACAAAACGTGAGCACTGAGCATGCAGAAATTGGTCTCATTCTTATATAACATTGTCCACTCAAATCTCCTTTTTTTCCACAGACTTTAACAGTGCCCTTGTTTTGGCAACAGGGCCTGAGCTCAGCTCCTGTGCCCCAGTGGTCCAGCACTTCAGATGAAGAGGTGTGTTTTCCCATGACTACTGCGGATTTTCTCCTTGCCAGCGCTCAGAACTTCACCCAAAGACTGAGCCACCAGGGACCTGCTGAGTTTTCTGGACTCAGCTTTTCTATTATGACTAAACATCCATTGATTTGTTACCCCATCTCTGCAGCTTTCTTCCTTCTTCAATAGCCCAAAGTTATCACTGGCACAAACTGCCCCAACTCCAGCTCACTTAATTAGAACAATATTCGAGCCATGCCTGGCTCTTTTTTCCTCTCTTTTTATTTTTTTTTTTTTTTTAAATAAATATCAGTATCTTTGTGAAAATCTTGTTCAGTATTGATGCCATGGAACCAGACCTCAGCATGGCCTTTTAACCTCCTTTTATTCAACTTTTCTTCTAAACACGGGCAGCAACAATAAAAACCAAGTACATTATCAAGGTCCCTGTTATTGCCACACTACATTAGAAGTAGATATTTGAGCTTAGGAAGATTAATTTAGATCTCATTGTGGAGTTCATGGTTATCTGTGCAAGTTTATCTATAAATCCTCTGCAGCCTTGTCAATAGAAAACTTAGGGAAATTCTGGAGCTGAGTTCAGGTCACTTCTGTTAATTAACTCAAACAGAAAAGCACAATCTTCTTTTTGTTGGTGATTCATCACCTGACTATGCTGAACTAAGGTCCTTACTGCCATAGGAAGTGAGATAAACATTAAAACCCAGGAGAACACACTAAGCCTTAACTCTTTCATGCAGGACAATACTGGCTACTCTAAAGGAAAACCTTCGGAACGGCTTGTCACAGCCAGCTGTGCAGGTAGTCGATTTGTCACGAGAGCGATGGTACCTACAGAAGTGCTTTCCTTTTTTTAGGCTTACATAATAATTTCAGAAATGTACTGATTTCATATATATAAATGTGCATATTATTAAACAAAAGAGGTAAGCACGTTTTAAGAGCTACTGCTTGCTGGAAGGCAGCAGGTGCTGAACCTTCTCAGCACTTCAGAGCGTAGGGCTTTATCCTCAGTCCTTGCTCGTGTCTGCTTTTCCTTCTCGGACGAGTATGAATGATGGTTTGGCCACAGCTACGCCTTGCAGAGCTTGTGGGCAGCGGGATCTACAGTATTGCATGGCTGCTTTCTGAGAGTTTGGGGTTTTCAATGAGATTTAGAGCTGAAGGTTTTGAATTGTTGAAGGAATTTTTTAGCGTTTGCATGGCTCTGAGATACTTATCTGGATCTTCTCTCTCACTACAGAGACATTGGTTATTTTAAGGACTGCACCTGGCCCTTCATCACACCTTGAGTGAAATACTTCCCTCTGTTGCTGTTAATCCATATGAACAATTCTAGAACCAGTGGATTTTTTCTAGGTTCATTCCACTTTCCTATGAATTAAAACTTAGTCTGCTGTGCAGCTCTGGTTGGCTGGGTCACAGAACTGAGCAGCATTACTGACACTGCCCTGCAGCAGAGGCTGGGCTAGTGACCTCTGTAAGCCCTGCTAAGCCCAGACATATTTTCTATGAATCTGTAATTTCACACTCCGCAGATATAAATATGTAAAGCAAAGTGTAGTGTGCGCACAGTGATCTGACATGAATTTCCGAACCCACCGATATGTCATCCTGATTCAGTGGTTCTTTGGGAACACAATTACTGCTCAGACATTCCAACAGCCTTTGCATTTCCACTCCGCTCTTGCTTTGATAACTCCTTGGACAATAGCACACGGAAGGGCAATGCAGCCTGCTGTGTTAGACACAAACCAGCTTTTTGCTGAGTTTTCTAGCTTATTCCATTTAGACCCTGCTGGAGATTTGCCAGATGAGGAATTCCCATAGAGTACATCTAATATAAAAGCAGCTTCCTGTTTCCTTAGGTTGCAGGCTGATGAATTTAGCACACTTATTTTTTTTTTTTTCCTGAATTAAAATGTTTAACAGAAGGGCTTTATTTCATGTCCCTGGAATTAAGAGGTTTGGCCTTTTTTCACATGCACTGTAATTTACGTGCACAATAAGTAGCCTAGAAAGGAAATTGCCCTCAAAAAAATCTATGCTAAATAGATTAGCTGAGGTAGCTGGAGAGGGAACATTAATAAGCATCACTATTTGATTATTATTAAATCTGTAGCGTATACAATGACCCCATTTCATTAATGGTGCATCACGCAGGCAGAGTTATAGAAAGGTCTCTCGGCCCTCGCTCCTAGGAATTTGTGTGTTTATTTCTCCAGTGAATTTGCAGTTATATATGGGAAAATCTGGGAAAAATGAAAACTTCAGCCTCTGCACTGAACTTGGCCGTGTCAGGGAACAACATGCAGTGTGTATGCAGCACTGCTTAATGAATGTTTCACCAGTCCTGTTGGAGCCGGCTGCTGGTGGAGGTGGCACTATGGGTTGGACACTCCATTTGTGTGCCATGCTAAGAACTGGAGGGGAAAACCAGCCCAGAGAGCAAAAAGGGACATTCCTACTCCCAGCACTGAGCAGAGTGGGCAAGAACGTGAGTGCAGCTGACACGGCGGTGGCCAAGGCTCTGCAGCAACTCCTGGGAACGGCTCAGTTGTCGAAAGGGTCAGCCCTGAAGATTGTGGGGCTCCAAAATAGACTCTAATCTCAGGCACCCCACAACTTCCTCCAAGCCGATGCCTCCACGGCTTCTTC